AACTATATTATTATTTTTATTTATAAAATCATATTCATTTTTATGTTTTGTTAATTTTATAAAAATCAAATTTTCAAAACTATTAACAAAAAAGTTAATTATGTTTTTCTATAATGAAAAATATAATTAACTTTCAAAACTATTGATTAACATTAACATGAGTAACACTTTGAATTATGTAATCTGCAACTTATATAAATTTGCATTTATGTAAATGTATGTAAATCACAAAAATTAATAAAAATTCTGAGAATTACTTGCAGGCATGAAAGCTTACTGGGGACTAGTGTACCAGTAAGCTTTCATGCCTGCAACTAGCTACTAATAGCAAGTAATGCCCAGTACTAACTTGTACGAATACATCTGTGGCTTGGTGTAGTTGTACACAGAAACTTTTTATGAAGACAGTGACTACTTCAGTATGTGTTTATATATATATATATATATATTGAAGTTTCTTATGAAAACACTGAAGTAGTCACTGTCTTCATAAGAAACTTGAATGTTAATAGTAGAAGAAAACTTTATTGTTTTTAATGGTAATAAGAGAGACATCGTGTGGCAGTATAAAAGTATGACAAAATACTTTTATAACTTATATCAGAGTAAATACTGCCACACAATGTCTCTCTTATTACCATTAAAAACAATAAAGTTTTCTTCTATTATTAACATTCAAGTTTCTTATGAAATTACATCTAAGTAATATAAAAATTTATTTTGTGCAAACTTATGTTTTTGGTTCCATAACCTAACTCTAACTGTTACATAAGTCAGGTGATTACGGCACAAAGATTAATACCTTTATTTTTAACAAAATAGAAATTCGTAAAGAAAAATTTTAAATGTACAAAATTTTTCTTTTCATAAGTGAAATATATAATCTAGTAATAAAATACGAAGATATTTTTTAAAATTAAACACTTCGACTGAATTAAAAATCAATACATCGAATTAATAAAAAATATTACATCAAGATTATTAAAATCTATCTAAAGATTATTAGGCATTAATTAATATTATAATCAAACAAAGTTCAAACAACATTACTAGTACATTCAACAATTACATTAGCAAACAGCTTTAGCCCTACATTTATATTATAATTTATAAATGAAAAAAAAGAAAATGCATCAAGATTATTACAAATAAAATTATTAATTTTACAATCTGCATATTAAATACTGTCTAAATTTTTATTGTGCTGCAACTTGAAAAATTCGTAGACTTATAAATTCCCACTGTTGTCAGTCCATCTGTCCCTCCTTAATCTCGAGAACTGAGTTAGATAGATGACATCAGATATGGAAACCTTAGGAGCAGGTGGCCTCAATTAACTGTATACAAACTTCCAGTATAAACCAGAAGTCACATTAGTTCAACTCAAACATTTTTCTCCGAAAAGTGTTAGGTAGATGACTGGTATGACTATTGTTAGAGGAAAAGTATGATGCACAGAGGCAAGCCACTACTAATTTGAGGTGGAGAGCATATATTTTAAATTAAATTAATAAAAGTATGATTAAAAATATCAGCTCAGCATTGTTACGATGTCACAATAAATATTTGCTTATTTAAAATTAGAATTATTACCATAGTTTTTTCAATTCTAAGATGCACTAAGATTTTGAAATTTAATTTTCAGATATTTTTATGGAAGGAAGAAAAAACTTTAATTTTATTAAGTTTTGTTAAAATACAATAAGTTGGAAAATAATACAGTTGCCATGAAATAGATAGTGTTCAGTAGTTACATTTACATGCTGTTCTGCTCTTCTTTTTATATACTATACAATATTTATTCGAATATAAGATGCACTGTTTTCCAGGTTTTAGTGTTGAATATAGGATGTGTGTTATATTTGATGCAAAATTTCATAATTAGCAATCTCTTATGCAATGTGTTTTATTTTTATGTCACTAATTCCATTGTATCATTTTAATTAATAATTTTATTAGACCAATATTAGTAGTAGAAAATATTTAAGAGGTCAATTTAGCTCAATCTTGTTAGTCTATTACAGTAATGTTGTTAAGACTCATAAAAAGTTGTGCAACACTGGTTCAATAAATGTTGCATTTCTGATGTTTTAAATGGCACTGAATATGGTCAGGGGGAAGAATGAACATCAAATCTAGTGTTGATTAATCTAGTTTTAGTTTTAGTAAACTAAAATTAAACTAAAAATGTATGTAACAACCAGGGCTGTAGAGTCAGTAGATTTTTACATGACTCCGACTCTGACTTTTCCTTACCATCCGACTCTTACCAGTGGTGGACTTGTTAACAAAGTACGCCCAAAAATTCTGCCATCATCATGTGACCTCAGAATATAAGCTTCAATAAATATAGTTCTAATAAAGATTGAATATAGAAACTTTTTATTCCAAAGCTATAATACTCCTCTAAGTAATGATATAGTCAATATATAAATATGTATTCGATAATTTTTACTTTTCTGGCTGTTATATATAACTGAAGAAAAGTGTAGCAATTGGTCTAAAAAATGATCCCACCCCAAATTTTTGCATTTTTGGACTAAAGATACTTCGAAATGTTGAGAGATTAAAAAGATTCAGGTTTTTTTCTGTATGTACAAATGTTAGACTGTATGGGAGACATGTTTTCGAATCGGAGTCAGATGGTTTAACACAGGAGTTATTAAGCTTCAAAATTGTTGAACTAAATTGGTTGGTACACATTCTAACATCCATGTGTACAGAAAAAACCCCAAATGCTTTTGCACTTCTCTGTTTCGTGGATTCCCAAGTCCAAAAGAGTAAAAATCTGGAAAAGTCATTTTTTGACCAATCATCATTCTTTTCCTTTGTTATAGGCATATAACAGGGGTGGCCAACCTGCGGCTCGCGAGCCACATGCGGCTCTTTGAAGGATTATTTGTGGCGCTCGATAGATGTACCCGAGTTCTCTTTTCATTTTTGTGTTATATTATTTTAAAAAATTATTATCGTTCCGTATGTGTTTCAAAATGTCTTTTAAATTACTAACAACAAATATGAAAGACTAAGTGCAACGTTGTGACAAATTTCATTTCTGTCCAAGTTAAGAATGATATGACTCATCGAAAACTGCACGAATGAACATAAACAATGGCGTAATCATCCATTATCAACCGACTCCAGACCGATTTTGAATTTGTAAACTGTCATTGCAACGGACAGTTGACATTGTGCTCTGGAGGAAACAATTTGTATCACTCTTGCTACGGATATAATTTGTATTCTGGAATTTTTTGCATATCTTTTTAATACGTATTTAATTGTGGCTCGCGAAAAATTTCAAATTCTGAAAAATGGCTCGGACTATCAAGGAGCTTGGCCACCCTGGGCGTATAATGTTATAACTGCCGGGAAAGTAATAATGATGACGATTCTGATTATTTTTTAAAAATACAAAATAAAATGATTTTAAAAAACTAATTAAACATTAAAATTTGACACATCTACTGAATAAAAATGTACATAATACATGAATATATTGGGTAATATATAAGTATACAGTTACATTAAACTAAGTCAAGAATGAGAAATATAACATTTAGACTGGTAAAGAAAAAGGTTGCTTATTTTTCCAGGTTAATTAATTTATTATTTTTTTATCTCTGTTATAAACTGAATTACTCCTTACAAAAAAAATCACTTCTATTAAGTCAGCATTCACTCTGATATCATATTTAATTATTTCAAGAGTGGAAAATAAATGCTCTACTGAAACTTGGTTGGTGGCAATGCTGTGACAATCAATTCTGTATCTTGGATAATGTCTGGATAGTGCAGTATTGTCATCTTAACATTCAAACTTGAAGAGTGGTCAATGTGATTTATTTTTTCCAGTGCATAGTAAATATCATTATCAAATTTTGTAAGATTTCCTTTTCTGTTTGTACTCATATTAGAACTCAAGCATAATTTTGAGGTTAGAGACAAGTTTTATAAAAAAAACTAGCAGATTGGCCAGATGTTGCTCAGGCAAAAAGTAACAATAACGAAGATTAAGATTATTAGATTATTACCTATTTTCACTGGGTGCAAGAATTAGGTTCCTCCTCTTTCGAGACTAATTAGAGAATTTTTAGATGGGTCTGAAAGTATGTTCGAGTTTTTGCAAAAACACAAAAAAAAACCATATCTAAAATAGTACAGTAGAAATGGAGTTCTTCAGGGTAATACTTAACCCTCTCCTTCTCCTCCCGCAAGAGGAATTTCGAAAAATCCCTTCTTAGTGTACATTCTTATGACATATCCTAACTGTGTACCAAATTTTAACTTTCAACTCCTGACCATTTGAACTCTGAGCTTATTATTATTAT